CCCCCCCCCCCCCCCCCCCCCCCCCCCCCCGCTGGTCTGACCTGGTCTTCCCCCCATGCTGGCCTGTAGGCACATCTCTTCTGTGTTGCATGTCTTCCCTGAGACACGCCTGACCATTTTGACACACTACCCTCCCCATGCCCCCGTCCTGCCAGGTGTGTCCATGACTGCCTTCACGGGCTCCCGTGCTGGAAGAGATGCCCTGCAACTGATACAGGCCTTTTGGGAAACTCTTGGGATGAGCATGAGTGTTTCAAAACCTGATAACACATGCTCCCAGCGTTCTTGCACAGTACTCCCCTCCCCTCCATCCCAGGGTGGCTGTGTGTCTTGTCCTCCAGATACCATATGCTGCCTCTTCGTGGTATTACCAAGAAGTGTCAAGGATGTCATTACATGTTTGCAGCGTGTGTCCTTCTGCGTTAGGAACGGCGTCCGGCCCTTTGAAAGTGCCCCTTTCGCTCCAGTCCTGGGGCAGGGCTGCCTTGCCTTCCCCTCCCAACAAGGAGGCTGCAGCACTGACTCCTGAGCAGGCTTCCAGCAGCAGCAGCGTGCCTGAAGCCAGGAGCTGGGCTTAAGCAGCAGACCAAATAGCTCAGAAACCGTTGTCTAATGCAGTTTGGTTAACAGGTTTGGGGCTGTCCTCTGCTCTCAGCTTCAGCCTGTATCGAGATTTCCCAACTGAGGTGCCCCACACGCTCTGTGGGACGGTAGTGCCATTTGTACTGCAGCTCCCCCGATATTTTTGGAGTTACGGAAGCCAGCTGTCGCTGACCTTAGACAAACAGCTGCTCTTTCTGCTTTGTCCGCAAGAGTGACGCTTCCCTGAAGGGCTCTGAACCAGTCAGCAGCCGAAGTGAACATTTCTAGGGATGGTTTGCTCCTACCTCTTCGGGGGAACCCTGCAGACACGCGTTCCAAAGAGATCGGGGCTGTTGGCTGCTGCCAAAGGACAGAGAAGGCCGCTCGCCTCCGAGCAGCGGCCATTCAGCATCCTACCATGTACAGTATTTTCTCCAATGTTTCTTTCCATTCTAATCAAGAGTAAAAGCTTTTTCTTTCAATTCAACTCAATGGTACATGAAGGCAGGGCCTCAGGAGGAGCTGGTTCCCGGGGCTGTCATTTTGGGCTGAAGTTTTTAATTCTGAAGTTAACTGCTTTTTATGACGCACACAGCGTTCCCCGGCACGCTCGCCGCAGTGTGTCCTGTGAAGTTTAGCTGCAACCGACTCAGATCTCTGGGCAGGAGCCCACAAGCTCCTGGAGGTCTGTCCAGGTACATGTTTCACTGCAAATAATGAAGTGTTGCTACATCGATGCTAAAGAAACAAAGGGCTTTTCCTCATTAGCCCCAAATAACCAAGTGCCTTTTTATATATGTGGCTACCTTTTACAAGATGAGTGCTTTCTGTGGAATGAAGCCAGTTTCGTGCCTGGCATGTTAATACGATGGCCCTCTGCCTTTTTTTTTTAAACTACTTGTAAAGATATCTCCTTAAGGTGGTATTTTATCTCATAAGTTGTAGAGTAACCATTCACACAGCAGCATTTTCCTATATTAATAATGGAAAATATTTGCTTATTTTTACATTTTTATAAAAGTCTTTTATGAAAATAGTTGCTGCAAAATGTATAAGCAATTTTTATCCCCAGAATAAAGAGTATGTGCCCGGCATCTGTGTGCTGCTGTTTTTGTTTGTCTTCCTGGCTATCACGGCACAGCCACTGGATTGTAAAGACAGGATTATAAACAAATAATTGGTGTTCGATAGCTGTTCAGACCCCTAGCAAGGGAGGGCTCATTAGAACCTCCGCAGTCCGTGTCAGGAGAGAGCTTTTGGGGATTAAGGGTGCTCTGTGCCGTGGCTCAGCAGCGCGCAAACCCCACTGCTTAGCTCCATCCAAGGGAGCTGTGCCTGGGAGCTGAAAGCAGCCTAGCTCGGGTGTGTAGCAGGAGGATTCTGGTTTCTTGGTTAGCTGAGAAGGGGGCAGTAACCAGCAGCCAAGCAGCTGGGCATACTGGGAAGGACCGGGAGGGACTGGGATGGGGCCTTTTTGAGGTGCTTTGAATAAAAGCTCTCGCTTGCCTGGGAGCTGGAGAAGGGCTGGGGCTTTTGTGTGGCTTTTAGAAAGGTTGTGGGCAAGCGTGGGTCAGGGGGTGGTTAGTGGAGCCATGGATTCACGTGCCCTTTCAGGTCCTGCTTGCTTCCCTGGGCTGTTTCTGTCCCTGCAGCCAGGAGGAGGACCCTGGTCCCTGGAGCTGAGGCGGCCTCCCTGGCTTTGGCTTGGCAGCTGATGCATGAAGATGTGTGATTCTCCAGCCTCTGAAACAGGGAATCACGGCTCCTCCGTGCTGTTTTCAGACTTGAAAAGTTTGACTTGAACAATTAGAGAGCAAATTGACAATGGCTGTGTTCCTGTATTTTGAGCAATGAAGTGCCACCGAAGCCTTGGGCTCGGCCAGCACTCACCTGGCCAGTTTCCAGCTCTCACTGCAGACTCGGATGGAGCTGGTAGCTGAATTATGGTGCCTTGCAGGGATAAAGCTGCTGGGGGCATTTTAAGGGTTTAATATTCAAACAGCGCAGCTCCTTTATCTTCTAGTAGAGCCAGCTTGGCAAGTACAAACCTCCGGGAGGCTTTCATCCATGTTCTCCCACAGGTTGTACATCTGTGCCAAAGTTTAGCGAGCTCTGCTGTGTCTCTGGCACAGCTGCGTCAAGTTTGCCGGTGCTCAGGCTGAGACTTGAAACTGTGTCTCCTCAGGGACGGCGCATGCATCTTCCCCTGCCTGGGATGATGAGAGGCTTGTGAAAACTTGTTGTGTTGCATCCAAATAAGCCTAATTGAACCAGCCAGGCAGGGAGCTGGGGTATGCCTTATCTAACAGCGTAGTAATGGAGCAGCCTCAGGCTCTTTTGGGGAACATTTTCATGTTTTTTCATAAAACAAGGGTGGAGTCCTGTCTTCTGCGGGGGGGTGTTGCTGTGTTTGAAGAGTTTTCCCATTAGTCAGAGCGGCTGATGTCCTCTGTAAGGTTGTTTCTTTCGGGAGAAATTATAGCAGGCAGCAGGTGTGTTTGGACACAAGGTGGCTTTAGCCCTTTGATCCCGAAGGGTGCTTAGCAAGCTGGCCGAGCCTTGGGAGGTCTCGGGGAGCAGCAGCGGCTGTATCCCAGCTGTGTGGGCGAAGGAGACGGGCCTGATCCTCCTCACTCCCCGGGGGCAAAAGCCAGACCTGCCTCTGCACGCTGGTGGGGAGCTGCTCCCTGTGGGCGTAGCAGCACTCTGCGCGTTTCGGCAAATGCTGCCACAAAGGAGCTGTGGGAGATCCCTGGGGGCTGGAGGACATGGCTTGAGCCTGACAGCTAGAAGTAACAGCTTCAGCCAGCTACAAGCCCTCCATGTTGGGAGATGAGGGGCTTTGGCTCTGGGACTGGATCCTCTGCAGGTAACTGCCTCCTGGGTAGCTCCCAGTGGCCTCCTCCAAGGGTCTTCGAGAGGACTGGGGGATGGAGAGCCGGGCATTGGCCGTAGCTGGCAGCAGCAGGGTGCTGGGCAGGAGCTGGCAGCTTTGCAAGGAGGCCACGGGACAGGCAGCGGGAAGAGCTTTCAAAGCTGCTTTGCTATGTTAGGAGCCAACAAAGCGATGCTCCAGAGCAGCGTGGTCGGAGCAGTAGAGTAGATGAGCTTCAGCTGCCTCCCACCGGTGCAAGGGCGAGGATTGTGACGGAGAAGGCTGTGCCTGACCATGCCAAAGGGCTCTGGCTGCTGGGGCCAGGGGCAGCCCCCCTCTGCAGCTTCATGCCAGCAGCAGCCTCCCCGGGGCCAGGGCTGTGGGTTCCCCACATGGGGCAGGGGCAGTGGGGGGCTGCTGCTGCAGGACCTGCCCCTTCCTCCTGGAGGGATGTGAACTGACAAAGCCCTGCGTCACTGCCAGGCGTGTGGGCCCGGCACCCCCACTTCTCTCTGATGGCACCTGCCAGCCCCTGGCCACAGGCTGTTCCCACATCCCCGCATCCTGCATCCTGCTGACAAACGTCCCCAGGCAATTCAAACAAGGGTGGTGTGTGGGTGACGCATGGCGGAGCCAGGCAGGGTGTGGGGCCCGGCCAGTGACGCAGGTGATGCCAGTGGGTGGTACCCATGGCCCGGCTGGTGACTGCAGGGATGCTCTGGATGGGATCAGGACAGCCTCCCCCGGGGCTCATCCCCACCAGCCCCTGGTCCAGTGTGCATGCCTGCCTGGTACCAGGCTGCTCTCTGCTGCAAGGTTCTCTCTTGTGTTTGCATTAGTAATTAACACTAATTGCAGTGGGTTTATTGACCAACTAGGAGAGGTTCTTCCTGTCTTTTCTGGAGAAACAAATGTAAACAGAGTGGAGATCTGGGCGGCTTTCCAGCAAAGCGGGAGGGATGGAGGGGAGTTAGCAATAAGATTTTTACAGTGGGAATCACCTGAGCTGGGCAAACAGTGATGCTGGTGAGCACCAGGCTATAAAGGGCAGCTCCTCTCCCCTGCTGGTGACCCACAAGAAGACATTATTCCTCCCGATCTCTGGACAGCAGGTGAGGAAGGGGATCCTCGCGGGGCGGCTGCAGCCTTGGGATGCCTTGAGGTGGCTTGTGGGTGAGCAGGAGCCGGTTCCAGCCCCAGCAGCTCCCAGGGGAGCTGAGACCTGCCCTTGCTGGCTGGGGCAGGCTGCAACGATGCAATTTTCAGCCCCGCATTGACTTTTGTCGCTGCTTCTTTGAGGGGAAGACGAGCTGAGTCTGCAAATCAGCCCTGGTGCCTGGGGATTAGCCCAGATAAAGGGGAACTGCGCTGATGTGGCCAATTTGCCTCCCCAGCCTGGGTCTGGCAGCGCTACAAGCTTGGGGGGGGAGGAAATGATGCTGTGCACATAGTCCCTGCAGCCCTACCCGCCCTGGCTATGCCTATGCCATTGCTGCTGCTGCCCGATGCCAGGGCAGGGCTGGGGTCCCCCCACCTGGGCCCGTGGCAGCGCTTTCCCCATGTTCCCACAGAGCAGCTTGGCTCACCCAGATGCCTCCCGCCGAGGCTGGGACTGGTGGGGCCAGGACACCCCACTGCCAGTGCGGGCTGAGGACCCCGAGCCATGCCTGGGGGACGGGGTGCAGGCACAGGGAAGTGACCTGTGCCAGGGAGGGAAGAGTGAGGCATAGACCTGAGGGCTGCCATCTCCTCCAGCTGGCTGAAAGGGGCCGGATTCAGTCCATAGCAGGGCGGGTTTGCACCTTCTGGGGGCAGGCGGCATCCCCTGCCCCCTAGGGACCTGGTGTGAGCCCCTGAGCTCTTGTAGGAGACACGTCCGGGAGCGAGGAGGATGGTGGCAGCGACCAGACTCGCCGTCCTGCTGCTGGGCTGCGTGGGGCTCCTGTGGCCGGCTGGTGAGTCCCATGACTTGGAGGGCAGCCGCTTTTGCAGCGGGGCTGGGAGGGAGCCATTCTCCTCTCCAGCTGGCGATTCCAGCTGTTCCCCATCCCTCCCCACGGCTCTCTCTCCACAGGCGCCCAGTACATAGACTACTGCCCCAAGGGCTGGTCTTACTACAAGCTCAGCTGCTTCAGGTACTTCCGTCAGCTCCGGAGCTGGGATGAGGCTGAGGTAAGCCTGCTGGGGTACGCACATGGTCAGGGAACCCCCATCTCCTGGGGGTGCCCTGGCACTGATGGCTCTCCCCACAGAGGCAGTGCCAGGCCAGCCACCCCAGCGCCCACCTGGCCTGGGTGGAGGAGCCCCGGGAGGCGACCACCCTGCAGATGGTCATCTCCTACTACCAGCGTGTGCAGCCCGTCTGGCTCGGCCTCCGCTACGGGCGCGAGGTGAGGCGGGGGGCAGTGGGGGTGGCAGGGGGACAGGAGGCAGCAGGGCCATACCTCTGACCCATTCTCCCTGCACAGAACCAGGCCTGGCAGTGGGCGAGTGGGGACAAGTACAATGTCACCAGTGGGCTGGCCAGGAACGGTGCCCATGGAGGGACCTGCGGCATGCTGACCCACCTCAGCGGTGAGTGCCCAGACCCCACATCCACTTCCAGCACTTGGTCTCGGATGGCATCCCACCCCCCACACCTCCTCCTCCTCCGGGGCCAGTCCCCCCTGGGGGACTGCGGCGAGCAGAGCCGGTGCCTCTGTCCTCGCTGTGGCCCCTGCTGACCCCCAGCCCATCTCTCCGGCAGGCTTCACCCTGTGGTCCAGCGCCGACTGCACCCAGCGGCATCACTACATCTGCAAGTTCACCTCCTCACACTGAGCACAGCCCCCAGGCCCTCAGGGGACCCCATGGAGGACCCCACACTGATGATGCTCCTTCCTTGCCACCTCTGCTCCGCTCTCCCCAACTCCTAAAAATACATTTATAAAAAACCAAGCATGCAGGTGCTGTGTGAGTGTGGTGCTGGTGCAAAGCCCTGGTACTGTCCACCTGTGGGCATCTGGGTGAAGGAGCAGCAGGCGCTGCCGCGGCTCCCTGAGCTTCCCAGCTGCTGGGGGCTTTGGTGCTGCCATTTGGGGGTGCTGCCAGTGGAGCCATTTGGGGGTGAGTCCCCGGGAGCCATGGGGCCAGCAGCTCTCCCGGCTGGGTGCTCATGTTTTCTCATCCCCAGCCCTCTGGTGCTAAACGGGAGGGGTGGGGGGACAGGAGTGTTCCCAGGGTGCAGGCATGGAGGAGAGCTGGGGCACAGATGTGGGTGGGGATGGGAGCTGTCATGGGTGTGCAGGTGTGGGGATCAGTGCCCCCCCCAGGTGCAAATGGCTCCACAGGGGTTCCGGGGACTGCGATGCTGCCCTGGGGCCGTGTTGACAGCAGCACGGGGACTAAAGGTCCCTTCTTGTGTCACCACAGTGTTGCCACAGGCATCACGTGGCTGTTTGCTCTGCTGTTTTGAAGATGGCTCTGCCCCCACCCAGCTCATGGGTCCAGTCCCCTCCCCCAGCAGCCGCAGCATGTGACGGAGGTGGACCACGTCCTGGGCGGCACGGATGGTGCTGGCACCAAACCCCCAGCCGCCCTCTGCTCCCTCCCCGGGACCGCGGGGGCAGTCAGGGAGGCCACACAGCACCTCGCACGCTGCGTGGTGACCACAGCCATGCCGGCAAGCCGTGGGCACTAGAGCTGCCACCACCCCACGGCACAGGGAGCTGGGGCTGCAGCAGAGCCCGTTCCGCTGCTTGGCCCCAGCTCCAGCTGAGTGCGTCCCCAGGCTTTGGGGCACAAGACAGAGACATCTTGCAAGTCCCCCCCTCCAAAGTCAGTGCTTGCTCCGCTGTCCCTGTCGCGTTGGCTGGTGCTTGGTGACCTTTGAGCTCTGGGGTCCGGCATGCTGATAAGGGCTGGGAGGGCTGTGCCGTGCCACCTGCGCAGTTTATAAAAGCACCATGTGTGGCCCATCCTGCTGTCCGTCTGTCCATCTCGCCGTCCGTCCCTCTGTTCGTGCAGCGGCCGGGGCAAAGATGCTGCGCTTGGTTGGCCGTGCCGCGCGCTGCTGGGGGGCGAGGTGGGCACCACCGGGGCCAGAACGGGCACCCTGGGGGGCCCAGCACCCCATGGCTGTGCAGAGGGCATGGTGAGCACCTACGCGGATCGGGTGGGGTGGAGGTATAACCAGGGCAGAGCTCGGGGAGCTGGCAGTGCGCTTAAACCTTACTGGGGAAGGGGATGCTCTCCCTCCACCCCACAGCGCTACCAGGCACAGGGAACCAGCAGGGATTTGGGGTGCTCACGGCCTGGGGTGCTTGCTGGTGGCATCTCCCTGGGGCCACCGCCTGTCCCCAAGCCTCAGGGCCACCGCGGGACCGTCGCTGCTCCCTCTGCCCCGCAGCCTCTCTAGCGCTGCTGGGACGGGCACCTGGCCCAAGGACGTGGGCATCCTGGCGCTGGAGGTGTACTTCCCCGCCCAGTACGTGGAGCAGGAGGAGCTGGAGCGGTACGACGGCGTGGAGGCCGGCAAGTACACGCGGGGCTTGGGCCAGCAGCAGATGGGCTTCTGCGCCGCCCATGAGGATATCAACTCCCTGTGCCTGACGGTGGTGCAGCGGCTGGTGGAGCGTGGGCGCCTCTCCTGGGACGCCATCGGTCGCCTGGAGGTGGGCACCGAGACCGTCATCGACAAGTCCAAGGCCGTCAAGACCGTCCTCATGCAGCTCTTCCATGACTCGGGCAACACTGACGTGGAGGGCATCGACACCACCAATGCCTGCTATGGGGGCACAGCCTCGCTCTTCAATGCAGCCGCCTGGGTGGAGTCCAGCGCCTGGGACGGTGGGTGCGGGCAGGGACCGTGCCATGGGAATGGGGGGGCTGGACATGGGTTGGGTGCTGTGGGATGGGGGAAGGAAGCAGGAGGTGGCCTGAAACTCAAAGATGCTCTGGCAAGCCTCAGAGGGAGCTGCTGCCCCTCCAAGCTCTCCATCACCCCCATTTCTCACTTGCCTTGGCCGTCACACCCAGCGTGGGGATGGGGATGTGCGAGGGCTGCAGGATGGAGACTCCCACCTGCTGAAGGGCCCACCGGCCCCCCTGTCCTCCCCCAGGTCGCTATGCCGTGGTGGTGTGCGGGGACATTGCCGTCTATGCCACAGGGAACGCACGGCCCACAGGAGGTGCCGGTGCCATCGCCATGCTGGTGGGACCCAATGCCCCACTGGTGCTGGAGAGAGGTTAGTGCCACGAGACCCTGGGGGTGACGAGCTGATGGGTGCCATCTCTTGGGGCCGTACATCCATGTCCCAGCCCCGGACGGAGCTGCTCAACTCTGGCAGCACTGGTTCTGCTGGCCCCAGTGGCTGCCCAGTGCTGGGTACCCCAGTATCCCAGCCGGCCACATCCCTGTGGGCACCTCAGGCACCAGGGAGGCTGGTGGATGCCAGGGCTGGCATGGCAGGCAGCACGTGTGGGTGCTTGCCATCTGGCTGGGACCCCCTGGCACTCTCTGACAGCCGGCTCTCCCTGTGCCCCCAGGCCTGCGGGGAACCCACATGGAACACGCCTATGACTTCTACAAGCCAGACCTGGCCTCCGAGTACCCAGTGGTGGACGGGCAGCTCTCCATCCAGTGCTACCTGCGGGCGCTGGACCGCTGCTATGCTGTGTACCGCCGGAAGGCAGAGAGCCAGTGGCAGCAGGGTAAGTGGTGGCACCCTGGGGGTGCCCGCGCCATCCCGCTGGATGCTGACAGCCCCCATATTGCCTTCCAGCTGGCATCCAGCGGCCCTTCACCCTCGACGACTTCAAGTTCATTATCTTCCACACGCCCTTCTGCAAGCTGGTGCAGAAGTCGGTGGGACGGCTGCTGCTGAACGACTTCCTGGCCACCCCCAACCCTGACACAGCCACCGGTCTCTACAAGGGGCTGCAGCCCTTCCGGTGGGTCTGCGCGCTGTGTCCCCCGTCCCCCAGCCCAGCCAGGGATGTGCCTGGGTGGGGTTCAAGCCAGCCTCTCTCCGGGCAGTGGCGTGAAGCTGGAGGACACCTACACCAGCAAGGAGGTGGAGAAGGCGTTCCAGGCAGCCAGCCAGGAGATCTTCAACCAGAAGACGAAGCCCTCCCTGCTCCTCTCCTCTCGCAACGGCAACATGTACACGCCGTCCATGTACGGCTGCCTGGCCTCCCTCCTGGCACAGTGAGTCCCCCCAAAAGCTGGCTCGGGGTGGGGGGGAGTTTGTTTTGGGGAGGGCAGTCCCTGACCAAACTGGATCGGGGGGCAGGTGCCAGCACTCATCCCCCTCCTCTGCAGCAGAGACCCGATGCTTTCATTGCACATAACCCCTGGCATGTTCACCTCCTCCCCCACGCTGTCTCCCAGCCAGCCTTTTCATCCCAGTTTGCTGGAGCTGGGCCGGTGCATAAAGCCCTTCTGTCAGTGCTGGGAGAATGAAAACCCCCTTGTCATGCCCGGGAGAATGGCTGTTCCCTGCTGCCGGTGGCGGCAAAGGAGCCGTGGGAATGGCCAGGCACTGGGCGGGGGACAAAAGCCTCATCCCACTGCCCCTCCTTGGGCAGCCCTGGTGCTCCCTGGCCCCGAGCCCCCACTGCAGGCATCCCCTTGCTCTGGGGCCACCTGCCCTTGGCAATGTGGCCACAAGTTGCCATTTAATCCGGCCCCAAGTCCCAGGACCCCCCTGCCTGTGAAGGGGGCAGGAGGCAGCCCCTTACGCTGCCCCCACAGCCCTGCATCCCCCCACTAGCCTCCAATCCCCTCTAACCCTGCTAACACCTCACTGCAGATCCTCGGCGCAGGACCTGGCCGGCTCCCGGATCGGCGCCTTCTCCTATGGCTCGGGGCTGGCCGCCAGCATGTTCTCCCTCCGCGTCTCGCAGGATGCGGCCCCGGGTGAGCCCCACGGGAGAGGGAGGCCAGGAGGGGAGGGTGGCGTGGGGCTGCGGGGCCAGGGCCGCTGGCAGTGCCATCTCACCTGGGGGGGTCCCCACCACCAGGTTCACCCCTGGATAAGCTGGTCTCCAGCCTGGCTGACCTGCCAGGTCGCCTGGACGCCCGCAAGCGTGTGGCCCCACAGGACTTTGCTGAGATCATGAAGCGGCGGGAGGAGACCCATCACTTGGGTGAGTGGGGCCGGGGGGATGTGACACCTCCCCGCTGGTGCCCCACGGCCCCGGTGAGCATCACCACCCTCTCCCCGCAGCCAACCACGCTCCCCACGGCTCCCAGGCAGATCTCTTCCCCGGCACCTGGTACCTGACGCGGGTGGATGCCAAGTACCGCCGGGAATACGCCAGGAAGCCCATCTAGCAGGGACTGTAGCGGTGAGCCCCGGGGAGGGGGATGCTCTCCTCCCCACCAGCATCCCTGCTCACCCCCAAATCTGGGGCTGGCCTCCATGGGAAACCTCACCTTGGATGGCCGGGAAGCAGCTGGCGGCACCTCGGGCCCTGGAGCTGGTGGAGACAGCAGCGTTTTCCGCAAACACCCGGGTGGCACAGGGGAATAAACACGTGGATGAGAGAGGGCAGCAGCCCAGCTCTGGCTTCTGGTCACAAGTGGTCCCCACCCGCCCCAGGGCTCTTCCCTCAACCACCATGGGGCTGGATTGCGGTCCCTTACAGGATTTATCCCATGGGCACCTAATGGAGCTGCCTGCCCCGTTGGACACATGCCTCAGTGCCCCCTATTTCCCCAGGATGGGAGTGTGCCCTGACATTTTGGGGCAGCCAAGTAAACCCCAGCTCCCCGGTCTCCAGTTTGGCAGTGGTAAGATGCCATTTTCCCCATGATGCCAGCAAATTGAAACATCCCCAGGGGAAAACCCAGGGGGGGAAGAGGGGGCAGGTGACGTGGGGGCTCACGGGAGGGCTCAGCCCCCCTTGGAGTGCTGCCTGCTCTCTGGGCCATGCCCTGGCACGGGACCATGGCCGGACGGGACCTTGGCGGGGCCGCCGCAGATTGAGCAAGACCTTTGCCCCCTTGAGCAAACAGCAGTGGGGCCGGGGGGGCAGAAGGGACAGAGCCTGCAGGAACTTTGTGGTCAGGTACAAGGGACCACACAGAAAAGGCATCACACGCTCTCTCCTCTTGGACCCTTTATTGAGCATGGGGCCACCCCAAGTTCAGCGCGGGGGCTGGGGGCGGCCAGGTGTGATGCTCCCCCGCCTGTGGGGGGATCCAGGTGCTGCGGCCGTGGGGATTCCTTGCCGGCAGTCAGGGGCTACAGGTGGAGCTGGAAGACCTCCATGACGCGTGGCTTCAGCTCGCCAAGGTTGGACAGGGGGGCCGAGAGCCCCACAACGCTCCACTGCTCCCCCGCCACCATGCCGGAGCTGTGATAGGACTGGAGGTGGACCCCCACCTTCCCCAGCAGTCCTGGAGAGGAGGAGAAGGGTTAGGGGCTGCAGGCTGCCCCAGCACCCCGCAGGTAGCAGGGCTCTGCCCACCCCAACACCCCACAAAAGGTCCACGATGCCATTTCTTTTCCCCTACCCCAAGTCCTTTGCTCCAAGCCCCCAACCCTCTGCCCAAGCCCCCCCATCCCCATCTCTTCATGTGACACCTGTCCCCCCTCCCTGCTGCAGCTGGGGCTTGGTTCAGGCGCGAATGTGGGGTTCCCCCCAGGCTGCCCCCCCTGCTTGGGGGTGATGCAGGGAGCTTACCAGCGAGCGTAGGCAGCGCGCTGGGCTCGGAGGCTTTAGTTCTGTAGATGAGGATAGGGCCGGTCAGCGGGGCTGGCTGCTTGAAGGTGGCCCCATTGAGCTCCCGCAGCACTGGGGTGCTGCCCTGCACCATCCCCGTTGCCCGGTGTGGGGTGCCCTGCAGGGCCACCTGCAGCAAGCCGGCACTGCCATCGGGCTCGGGGGCCATGTCGCCATGGGTGGTTGTGACCTGCCAGAGAGATGTGGCCACTCAGCACCCAGGTCCTGCACGTGGCAGGGCGTGGAGAAGGGATGTCCTCAGAGGCCACCCCAGGGGATGTCCCCCCCAGCCTGAGAGGTGCATTAGCAGCCCCACGGGGCGACCCCGGGCTCATGCTGCTTGGCAGGGAAGGACAGGGTCTGGGTGCGCCAGGCTGACATGTGGAGCCCCGGATGTCCACGCACCTTCAGCCCAGCCTCCTGGGCCAGCAGCAGGGCGTTCACCAGGGTCACCTCCTTCTGTGCCCCTCCAGCCAGCATGCCCGTGGCCACAGCGGGCATCAGGTAGCTCCCGGCCTCCCATAGGGGTGTCCCTGGGGTGCAGGGAGAAGGCAGGGGGTGGATGGGCCAGCAGCAGAGAGGTCAACCCCACACTGGAGCAGCCAGCCTGGGGCTGGTCCTTCCACCAACTCCTTCCACCCACCCACCCATACACCCATCCCTACTCACATCCTCCCTCCCATTCATGCAGCCATCTGTACCCCTACACCCCCGTCCTCCCACCATCCTCCCACCCCACCATCCAACCACCCTCACGTCCATCCCTCCACCTGGCCACACACCCATCCCTCCTCCTATCCACCCAGCCCAGTGGGTCCCCACGTGCCCCTGTGTGCTGTCCACCCATCAGTGTCCCTGTGCCCGGGCATGGGGTGCAGCCTGCCTGGCTCACCTAGGGTGCAGACCTGCACACTGCCCTGCACTTGCTTGCCCACCGTGTGCAGCACCGTGCCCAGGGCCCTGGCCAGGGCGATCCAGGGCTTGGTCTGGGGTGTGAAAGCCTTGCTGAGAGCCTGCCCGTTGACCTGCGAGGAAGAGCAGGATGTGCGATGGGAACCTGCCAGTGAGCACACAGGGTCACTCCCAACGCACCCATGCTTTACAGACAGGGAAACTGAGGCACAGAGGTCAGGTACCCGGTTGGGGTACTCACTATGCCAGCCAGCCCCTTCCCCGTGGCCATGTCCATGATCTGCATGGCGATCTCCTTGCCACAGCGGCTCTGTGCCTCCCGTGTGCTGGCACCCAGGTGCGGGCAGCAGATGACGTTGGGGTGGTTCACCAGGTCGCGGTCCTTTGGGGGCTCCTGCCGACACAGCCCCGTCCCACCGTCAGCCCCCAGCACCCACCTGGGAGCCCAGGGGGCATTTACACACTCTTCCCTTGCAAGGAGGGGAGCTGGGGAGGGCTGTCCCCGGCTCCATGGGGTTTGCCGGGCTCTCCTGGCCTGGCTTGGGCACAGTTAAGGTGATGCTGAGCCGAAGCCAAGCTCAGGGGGTCCCCACGGCCCCGCTCACCTGCGTGAAGACATCAAGGGCGGCCCCACCACACTGCCCCGACTGCAGCGCCCGCAGCAGCGCACCCTCGTCCACGATGCCGCCGCGGGCACAGTTTACCACCTGCACACCACGGCGGCACTTGGCGAACGTGCTGTCGTTCAGGAGCCCTGCGGAGGGAGGGAGCGCCGTGAGTGGTGAGGGGCTGCCCTGGCTCCCCCCAAACCCCACCGCACCGGTGCCCGCCCCATACCCATGGTGGAGGACAGCAGCGGCGTGTGCACCGTGATGAAGTCACAGCGGGGCCAGATCTGCTCCAGCGGCAGCTGCTCCACGCCAAAGGCAGCCGAGGCTTCGGGGGTGATGATGGGGTCATAGCCTATGGTCCGAG